TCCCATACAACTGTATATTATAAAACATAACATCATATGTCTGTCTAGGATCATCGGAGTCTTACGCTGTACGTTTCATGACAGCACTACTGTAGGTGTGGCAGAAGTAATAAACAAAAAGGAAACATAAATCCTCTTTTTATGGATAAATTCTTATACATCTGCATTCAAGAAAATTTGGTCACATCCACTATGATAAAATTATAATAAATGCTTGCTTAATTTGGGGGGGACTACATGTGGAAGGTTACAAAAGAAATAACAGAGCAGTTGCTAAGATGAGCTGAATGTTTCTGTGGCAAGGCAATGGGACCTACACTGAAATAAATGTAAATTCTAAGTAAGGTTTTCAGCCTTTCAAGCAAATCGCAATCTATCACCCACTATTACTCTGAAAGTTACTTGTCTCAGATATACTCTAAAGCTTAGACTGCATTATATTCACTAATTTAGGTGGATTCCACTCGGAAATAAATGGTACCAGGTTCATATTTAGCATCCATAAAAATATAAGTCATCATCATGAATCAAAATCTCAACAAATACTTATTGAACCTCTCTACTATGTCACAGGCATATAAAATTGAATTTTAAGATTAACACATTAATAAAAAGTAACTGAGGCCCCTAAAACTCTCCAAAAGATAGAATATAAAATGGAGAAGAAAGCAAAGATGGTATGAGATCATTAGCTTCCTATCAGGCAGCACAATAAAAGCAGAAGCAGCTCTGGAGTCAGACTCAACTGAATTCTAATCCTACTTGTACAGTTAGTACCTGCGGAATCTTAGACAAGTTGCTATAAAACTGGGATGATAAAGCTGCAGGGATTAAATGATATAGTGCAGGGGAAGCACCCAACGTATCCCTTGCATGCTAGTAGATGATCAATAAATAACAAGAGTTTTCATTAACAGTGTTATTAGTAATATCAACTGCAAAATGTTAACTCTGTTACTATTTTAAAAATTTGGTAAAGAACCTATTACTATAGTTAGCATATGAAAAATTCGTGATAAATCCTTGCTGAATGAACAGTCACTGAATGAAGTCCGAACTGTGTGGAGATAGGCAACAAAGGTCAGACAAGGTCAAAGCACTTCTTTCTGTTTCAGTTCTTCTGAGAAGGATTTCCTAAGAAAGAATTTTTATCCCTGCCTCTTTTTCTGCCTTTGTGATTGTTTGACTACTTTAAGAGCAACGTAATTTTTCCCCTGATCTCTAGCGCCACTGCCAGAGAAAGATCTCCTTCCCCATTCTGTAATTAAATAAGACAGTATTATGATGTTCTAAATTTCTGCTTGTTATGATTCCAAGAGACTCAGGTCAGGTTGGTAGAACAAATAATTGTTAGGTGCTTGGGCAGTAAACCAGGCTCAGGGCCATGGTTCTGGGGTGAGAGTAGATTCCCCAGGTTTCCCTTAGTCTCCATTCCCCCTTAACCTAGCAGGCTGCTTCTCACTTTCTGCCATCAGGGCTAATATTCCTGAGTTCTCCATGGCCATTAACACTCATTAGGTCTTCATTTGCTATAAATCCAGGCACTGTGGTGAAATCAATGTGGAAGACACCTTGAACGAGTGGTCCTGGACCTCCGTCCTTGCTTCGTTCTGCCATTACCAAGTCACGTGACACAGGACATGTTTTAACTAGATCTCGGTTTTCCCCTTGGTCAATGGGGACAAAAAGTGAGTCATTAAGAGCACAGGATTTGTAGTCAGAAACGTGTGGCTTCACGCCTTGGCTTTCTTATGTTAAGAGCATTGTAACTTTGTACAAATTACTTAACTGCTTTCTATACCTCAGTTCCTTAGTCTATAAAATGACAGAAGGAATAACATCATACGCTGATAAGGGTCAATGAAACAGCACCTCTAACATACTTATCAGAGCATAAAACACATAGTGTCTCATAGTATCTTCCTCCTCCTTCTCTTCTCATTATTATTACTATTATTGTAATATTAACCAGTGTCTTCCATGTCTGCAATTGTAATCCGCTATACAAGAACCTTAACTTGTTTACAGTATAGTATGGAAGTCAGGAATAGACAGTAATGAGCTAGAAAACGAAACAGAAAGTATGATTCAGATCTAAAGGAAGTCAGAGTAGACAGGAACTAGCAAATGTAAACTAGAAAAACAAAGCAGATGTCATATAAAGGTACCAGGGTTAATACTAAATAAAGACACCGATTGGGATACTAGAACACTTAGACAGAAATTTAGTGGCTATGCATTTAAATGAAGATGAGTTACATGAGTGGGAACCACTTTCTATATCGGAGGCATTCTCCCCAATACATGCAAACAAATTTTAGCCTACAATTTCAAAAATGCACTGTACCATATTTCATGCAATTTGAGTCTAAGTCTATAAATAAGACACATACTTCTTGCCCTTTTAAGTTTTTTGTGGAAAATAAAAATTCAACTCAAACTCAAAAATTCCAGTTCACAGCACACAGGACAGGGCACATTAAACTATGGTATTCCATGAAACTAGTTTGAGAGTTTGAAATCTGACTTACCTGATAAGAATAAGGGACAGTGAACACAAACAAAACTAGACTCACTATCCAAGAACGGTGCCGACAAATAGACCCTTACCCTTATTTCTGTGAATTTGTTTTACAGAAATCTGAGAATTCTACTCTTTAAAAATTATGACCCGAATATAAAAGGAATAAAAGTCAGATAATGTCAATGCAAAGGAATAGTAAAAACAAAACTAATAACCAAAAAAATGCTTCTTATCCCTGATCTAACATTTTTCCGATTCAGTACCTCAGAGGTTGCCAAGTCATTGGAAAGAAGATAAATTACAACAGATGGAAAAACACGAAGCATCAGAAATCAGCAGGTTATGATAAATCTATAATGTGTCTTGTTCATAGGGGGAGAAATCTACAAATTTGGCAAAGCGCAAAAAGGGAAAAAAATATTAACCTGGCCATTTCAAACTTGGCTTTCAAAAATTATTTTTTCTAGAAAATGCAATGCCTTGTTGCTAAATTTGGTTTCCTTTTAGACAATCAAAATCGAATAAATAAGAATCAGGAGTATTCAAATCAAAAGTGGAAACGTGTCTTGATTTCCTCTAAATCTGGAATTATTATATTCCTTTTTCCTTCTAAGTTTAGTACTCTAAACTAGATCTTTCTGTTCCTATCCCTCCTCTAATTGTGTGTGTTCACATATTTTCATTTCCCTAAGGATTTCTGGGTCCCCGATATCTGTTTCAAAGCCAGTGTCTAAATGTTGTGCAGAGGGCTGCGGACGTTCATGACAGTTACGATACAATCAATACTGCAGTTTGTGATCAGCAAGGTGAGGAATAGTGTACCATGCACCTTATATAGAAAACACGTGACCTGCTGGTGGTTCTCAGCAAGCTCAATGTCTGACATCTTATATCATGAATCCAGGGGCACTTGGGTCAAATCTAACTGCCATGCTAGATGGGTAATAGATATCTTCTAGGATACCAGTGACAGTGACAGATAAGACATTTTAGCTGGCACTTACACACTTCCAACAGAAAATAAACACAGCAAAATTTTATTGGGAATAACACCACAAAACTATAAAGATTTTTAAATGCCGTCCCAAATAAAATGCAACAACAAAAAAAGTTACAGCCGAAAGGAAGCCAAAAAGAAGATGACAGCCTCAGTAGAACCCTTCAACACCTATTTTTCTGCATGAACATGTGTTACTTTAAATTATTTTATACCATCTCTTAAGTCAAAATGCAAAACTGTAAGGATCAGGAAAAAATCAGACAGGAGACAGCCAGCAGTACAGACGCCACCATAAACCATGACATCTACACGGAAATAAATTGGTTATAATGGGTCCTTAGGGGCTGGGCAGAGGGCAAACAAATTTGACACATTGTCTGTTCCCTGACAATGGTCTCTACATTTCATCAAAAGAAGAGCATCTTAAGATTTACAAACAATGTTCTCTACAATTTTTATATTCATTTATACTATACAAATATTGTAAGGCAGTGTTCTCCATGTATACATAATTTTAAAGTTATTATATGGTTAGAAAATAACATACTATCTTTCTAATTTATAATGAAGTTAAAAAGAAATGATTAATCTATTTAATACTCTTCTTAGTATGAAAACACAGTGCAGTTCCTAAAGGTTGTGTGTCATCTGTATCAAAACAGATTGTACTCATACTCAAAAGCATCTCTGATCTGCTGCCTGTTGCAATGAGTCTGTTTTAACTTATACTTTATTTTTTTAACTTACACTTTATATTTAATAGTATGGCAGCAAAATAAACTTTAAAAAAAGAGAATAATCAGCTTACCTTTTATTATCATAAATCTGCAAGTTGCCTCTAACAAACATATTTCAAACCTAGAAACTCACTTGATTTAAAAAGTAACATTTTGATAAGTAACAGAAATATTATTTAGTAACATGCCCATCATTTCTATTTACTTTCTTACTTTCAAAGAATTTTATCACCTTATTTTTTGAAGTTTCATTTCAAGTGTCATCACTTTATTTTTTATTTTATATTGAAGTATAGTTGCTTACAATATTATATTGGCTTCAGGTGTACAATACAGTGATTTGATATTTTTACAGATTATGCACCATACAAAGCTATTATATTATTATTGACTATATTCCCCTGCTGTACATTACATCCCTGTGACTTATATAACTGGTAGTTTGTACTGCTTAATCTCCTTCACCTTTTTGTCCATTCCCCACCCCTAACCCTCTGGCCACCACTAGTTTGTTAATA